TGGCCGGTTTTTGCACCAAGGTCTTCATTTGTTTTTAGTTTCTGCTAATCACAGTATTAATTAGTGAGTAGAACTATGTTTGTATTCAATACAGTATTGGATGTTTTCACACCTCAGTTTACTATCATAAACAGCAATCTCCTTTCATGAACAAATCATATTTAGCAAACTCCAACCTTAAATATCAAATACAGCAAACTCCAATACATATAGCCAATTTAAAATATTATTCATAATCCTACGGCGATTTTGACTGCAATTTACATAAAATAATTTATTTACACACTTAAAAGCCAAAACAGTAATTTTATGTAGCGTCCTAATATTTTTAAAATAGTTTTTTTCGTGTAGTGTAAAATTAAGAAAAGTGGACTTTACTACATTTGATATTAGACGCCTGATATGTACTGGTTCCGCTTTGGAAAAAAGTGGGTTCCAGATATTCGGATTTATCTGACTGGAGCCCACCGACTTAAACAAGTCTCATCCAACTCAATGATGGTCTTCATCAAAAGGTGTGGTCTTGTACGATGAACGATAAGTTAGATGCATTAGATGTATCTGGGTCGCAGTTAAAGGCGGTGAAATCAACCAACTCATTTTCAATCTAACCTAACATATCCAGTCCATTTCAATCTCTATCTTTCATATGTTCGTATTAGTATTCTTGACTTCCTTTGTTTTCTTATTTTCTTGTTCCTTAGTTTTATTATATATTGTAGTTATAGTTGTTTTGCTTGGAAGAGTCCAATTCGTGACAAAAAATTAGTTACTAGTACAACCTGAACTTCATAGTTTCCCACTAGTCAGTCATGTCGCTTGCAACCACTAAGGTTGGTTCTGCCGAAAAAATGGTGAAAATCCACTTTATCATAGGAAAATTGATAGTGAGTCATGTCGCATATCGTGTGGCCACCAAAGATGATTCCGCCGGAAAATTGGTGAAAAAAAACTTTTCTGTAGCAAAATAAGATTAGTGCAGGCTCCTTTCTTAAAAAAATGAAAAATTTCGCTGTTTTTTAAATTTTTCATCACACCCTGACATGTGATATATTAATGGACGCGTTTCGTCAAGCTCCATTATTTTTATCTCTCCTATTTTCAGCAAAGTTTTAGTCATCGACCCAAAATGTCCCCTAACTTTACTGGAAAATACGTTTGGACTTCCGAAAAATGTCGATACCAGATTGTCACTAATGTCGAGTAATATAAGGAAATTTTTAATTTTCCGGATTTTTTTTTAAATTCGGTTAATGCGGGATTTTTTTGATTCTCACCAATCGAAAGGAAACTTCCTAAATCGGATAAATCTGCTGTAGAAAAAAAGTTGTTCCTGCCGGAAAATTGGTAGAAAACCACTTTCCAGAACGAACATTTTTAATTTTCCGACAGAAAATAGGTACCTACTTCTTTTTATTTTCGAGGTGTAAAGTGAAGATTCTGCCCCCCCCCCCCAAATGGCAATTATTATTTTACAGCCTTTATTCACCTGCTTTTTATACATTTATTTTATTCTGCGGTCTTTTTTTATCCATGTCTTTCATGTACAATGAAAACGCATGCCGGCGAATTAACACCAACTAATAATCTACAAAAATCGAAGCACATCACATATGCGACCGAATATAAGCAAAGCTCGCCGATCTGGCAAACATGCAGCCCAAACACTACGATTTTTTGGCGTTACTTTTTAGAGAGCCGTGGGAAGGTGACACGATGAGCGCGGGCTGTCCAAGCGGTGCACAGTTCCTTCTGAAGCGATCCAGCTAAGAGGTGAATATGACCTGGTGAGGTTTTGTTAAGTCTTCCGCTGATCCGCTGAGGACTTATGCTCAGCTATGATCTTACAGTAGGAAGCGTTCGCGTGCTATGGATACTACTTAATAATTAAAATTAAATTAAAGTGTATGATATTATCCATAAACTTTATTTTACGTATATTTTAGAATGTCTAAAATAATTTATGTGAAATGTAGATGAGATAATTGCAATTTGTTAACAGTTCTGCAGCTCTACAGCACTTATAACCAGCCGCCACTGTTACAGGTACTTCTAGAAACGTAACCAACTGGTTTACAACACTACGAATTCAAACAGACAGACAATGTTGAGACGTTGAGAGAAAATTTTATTTTCCTATAATTTCTTATAAGCAATTCGTTAACTCGCTACATTTAGCAGAAGATCCGTTGTTTTTCCATAAACAAATTAATAGTAACACATTTAGAAAAAATATTATCCAATATGGCGGCCATTTTGACAGCTGGCAGAAAATTGTCAATACACGATTATTATACAAAAATGTCCCAGAAATTTAAATTTACAATAAAAAAAAAGTTTCCTTTTAAAATTAAAAAAAATTTAGATTTTTTGTTATTTCCGGAAAAACCGGAAGTAAGCCATGACGTCACAGAACAATTAAATCCATCATAAGAAAGTATTTGTTCTAGTCTTTCAAACAGAACAAAATTATTCCGATATCTCACTGAATAGCGAAGATAAAGGAAAGTGGAACTTTAGTAGTAACTCTAACAATGTCACTGACCTATTTGACAGAACTGATACTTAAGTTGTCATAACAAGTCCCTAATAAATAAAATAACCCATTAAAAAAGACAAGAACTAAAATAAAGAAAACACAATAAACTTAAAACTAATTTTTAAAAAACAAACAGAAGGTGTGATATAAAAGAAAAATATGAACAAGAAAACACAGCCATACATAATAATATAAAAAATAAAAATTTATAAGAAACAAAAATTTATAATAAACAAAAACATAAAAAACTCACTCAAACACGACGATGAACACAAAAACAAAACTAGGAAAACACAAATTTTAAATTTATTTTTTTTCTACTAAAAACATTGATAACAGAAAACGTAATTTATTTTTCAGTCAGCCTATTTTCATTCATTATTTGCTTCGTGCGTGACAGCAGCGCCAACTATTTTATAAACTAACGGACGATATTTGCGTATACTGACAATACAATTTTTAATAGAGTTCGTAATTATAAAATATAAATTTTAATTTTAATAAACGTATATGGATTTGTAAAACAAGTGAAAAAATTATTATTATTATATATTTTTATTACTTCAGCTTAAAAAAGTAGTATAATCAATAAAAATTAATAATAAAACATAGGCAGGTATTTACGAGATCATGTATGAGATCTTGCCTAAGACTAATAAGTTGTCATTCAAGAATAGGTTAAATAATGTCAAATAAAAACATTACCATTATATAATAACACGTATAATAAAACGTATTAACAAAAATAATTGGTATATTTGTAATTGTAATTTATATTTTCTTCATTTTTAGTTCGAAAGAATCCATAGAAATTAATGATTAAAACTGGTTTCCTATCAATAAGTCACAAGATTGCATTTCAGCCATATACAATAATCAAAGGCAGAAACCTAATCATTTGCTAAACATTTAAAATTTAAGGGATGTTAAAGAATATCATAAAATAATAATTTATTGTTTATTTAAAACCTTTTCTGATGTCTATTATTTCCAGTATTACTGTTATTTTTACAAAAATATAGGTTTCTACTTCTTATTATACAGCTGTCCATTTACTTCTTTGATTTAATTTCGATTTTGCTACTGAAAATTTATATAATTTACTTTTTTTGCTAGTATAATTTGCAACAGAGCAACTCCGGTTGCTCATTTTATTGTTTTTAACCTATTTTTTTAGTAAAAAGTACGCCAAAATTACAAAATATCGCCCTAAGGTACTCGAATTATCCGCATCTTGCACTAGTATCGCTTTTGCTTTCCCTATCATGACTTCGCACTGATCGAATAGACCGCGGCCATGTTTTAACATGCCTTAGCGTGCTAAACGTTCTTTCCATTAAAGGTCTATGCCCACTATACCGTACCATACTATGACCGAGCCCGGACCTGATTTTTTTTTTGTATAGATTCAAATGAGGATGGTGTGGTCGATGCTGGGCCGGTCTAGTGGGCATTGTCTCATTTAAATCTATACAAAGAATATTTTTCTGCCTATGCCGGTACGGTCACGGTCATAGTATGATCCGGTGTAGTGGGCATAGACCTTAACTCTGTCGTTGGTGGAAGAGCCATAAATAATTTTTAAACCACTTTGTATGTCTGGATAAAATTCTCAATGTTTGGATGCTATATCATTAATTGAGAGCTCATTGAGTGCAGAAAGCTCTTTCGTACTTCAGTTTGGTATTCAGCTTCAAAATTGTCGATTCCAAATTTTTGCACTACTTTCATTTTCTAATCGGTAGTGAAAAAAGTATTTTTTTATGTTTTTGGGATGTAACAGGCTCAAGGAAAAACGTGATGTAAGCGACGTAAGGGAATCCAGACATGCAATAAATATGTTCAACCTATAATATTCTTCAACTATATTAGCCTGAATATTATTATTTCTATGAGATTGTTCTTCGTAATGCATATCTTACGCGTTGTTGATTAAGTCGTAAAAGAGGGGGGGAGGGCAGCTGCCCCCCCCTTGCCCCCCCAAACGACGCCCATGTCAACAGACGATGAATATCTGGTCGGCTTATTTAAAAAAAGTTGAACCACGTACCTCTGTGAACGACCTTCTTGTAAAATTGTAAATGCTCTAACAACTTCGACCTTATATCAAGATGTCTTATCTGCCTAATGGGTCTTCCAAGAATATAGGTTTTTATTGTTTAACACTTTTAACGCAGCGTGATAGTATCAGAAACCACGAGTAAGAAAACAAGAATTGAATTATTCTTTGCTCAAATTCGCAGTGACGGATTTAGGCTTGCTGCCGCCCTAGGCCCCGTTCGATACACCGCCCTTTTTGATAAAATGAATTTCATTAATTTTTATCCAATATTTTTATTTTAAAGTAACTTAATTTATTGAAATACAATTTTTTAAATACTACTGATAAACATGACAGATAAATATAATATATATATCAAAACTTTAGACAGTTAAATAATGAATATTTCTTTTAATTTTATCAATTTGAAAATTTCTTTTTCCTGGCTTTGTTCCGTGCAAAAACGTCAATTATGTCGTCGTAATTAATTTCTTGGACTAGTTGAGCTTCAATAGACAGTAATGCAAGTGCATTAAGTCTATCTTGGCCAATGCTTGCGCGTAAATATGTTTTTACCCTTTTTAGAGTAGAAAAAGATCTTTCTCCTGAACAATTTGTAGCCGGAATACTCAAAAAAATACGAAGAGCAATGTCCACATTCGGATAAACATCTCGAAGACTCCATGAATGCAATACATTGCATATTTTTTGTGCAGAGCGTACATCTTCCATATTTGCTAAGGAATCTTTGAGTTGACAATGTAAATGAATACATTCATTGCCTAACGTCTCTTCCAAATCGTCAGGATACTTAGTAACTAGTTTATTGGCAAGATTTTTCAATTCGTTTGTATCTATTTCAGATAAATCATCAAAAAAATTGAAATTTTCGTAAAGCTTTTCATATGCACTTTTACGCCCGGCCAATTGTACACTCAGAGTGTCTAGAATAGGATAATAAACATATTTACGAAAATTTTCTTGTCCAGAAGAAGGTGTTCTTTCATTTAACCGTGACTCGTCTGGCTGAATTCTTCTGGTTTTTTTGCGTCGAGTATCATATCGATAATAATCGTGAACTCCAGATAGTGCTTTGGCTTTTACAGATTGAGAAGTAAATTAATGAATTGAATTATAATATTTTCTATTAAAATTTTTTTATAAAAACTAATCTGAACCAATTTTTGAAATTGATTGTCTTTACTTTTTTGTGCCTCTAAAATTTTGGCATTTCATAAATTTTGCCGCCCTTCAAATTATGCCGCCCTAGGCCCGGGCTGCACGGGCCTAGGCGTAAATCCATCACTGCAAATTCGTGTTTAATTTTATTACCGAGATAACAAACGAAGGAATGCAATTTTTTGCATGTGATAAGAAGCACTATAGTACCTTAAAAAATAAATTTAAAAATGTACCTGGGTTTATTAAAAATTATAAAAGCTGCATGAATTTGTATATATGATACCTATTTCGGGTTGACTAGTTTATTATTCTTCATTTTATACATTTTGTTAAAAATAATTTTATTTGCCTGAAGATGGTTCTGTGAGGCCGAAACTAGTCACATCTGTATTAAGCAGATTAAATTTGTGGTTTTGATTTTGAGATTTTATTTGTTTTACAAATTTTTTCATTCTTTTTTTTTATTATATTTATAGGTTATAAGCAGGTAGGGTTAGATTTAGCACATAACACTGCGGCCTCTTGGCTTTATTGTATTTCCCTGCAATTCTTAAAAATATATTATTTTTTTTTGGTGTGTCATCGGCTTCAACTGCTAAGGTTATTTTGCCTCGTGTTCTATGTAGGATTTGTTACTGTTTCCCAGTGCCACTTTAGGAACATCACTGTTAATTAGAACCCAACAGTGAATGGCCGAGTAGGGAATCCTACCAAGACATCAGAATTAATTTTAAATAATTAAATTAAATAAAAAAATCCCAGCCAACGGTGGGATTCGAACCTGGGACCCTTGGATCCGCAGGCAGAGACTCTACCACTGAGCCACCCACCCCCTAATAATATATTATTAATTCCATTTTTAAGATTCTGTATAGTACAAAAAATATTGCCAATAAGAATGTTATTTTAAATATTTTCCATTAAAAATTTTAATGATCATATTTTTACATACATAAATTTCTCTAGAAAATTTCGTAAAATATTTTGAGGTAGGTCCTGGTCAAAAGCATCGGCTACAGATACTGCTTAAATGAACCACTGAAAATAGAAAATGATAAATATCTACGAGTTTGTTCTACGATTAACTGTAATATTGTAATTTGATTGGTGTCGCACATGTTGTGCGTGAGCCGATCATTACATTTTTCATTTCGTCAATTCCTAATTCTTTGAGTTAATGGGAGAAAGTCCTTAAATATTCGAGAAATTTTAGAAAGAGAGGTAATTTATTAATCGATTTGGAACTTTTGATTTTTCACATAGGTACGTACGAGTATGTGTATTAAGAGGAGATTCTTTTTTTAGCGAGTGCAATGCGGAAAATTAATTATTAAATATATCTAATGAATACGTTGCGGGGAGGTTGTGAAATATGGAATATTATATTTCATATTGATATGGGAATAACCAATCAATAAAAAAAAAATCGATTTGTAGTTAGGCCTGTTATTACCTTAATTGCCGACGTTGGGCAAAAATCTGAAAACCCCTAACATTTGGGCGAAATTCAGCTTTTTCCCAGACATCCTTGAAACTTCAACAAAAATTAACAACAATTTCGTTTTAATTTTTTTATAAATTTAAACAGCTTCTTTTCGAGTTATTTAGCAATGTTTGGCAAAATCGACATAAAAAAGTACGAGGAGGCATTCGGTGGTCGGGAATTTTAGCCGCGTGCGCCAATTTATTACTTATCATTCAATTAATCAAGTTTACCCCTGAAACAATAACTGATTGCAGACACTTTTTGAAACCCCACCCGGATGCCACTCGGATGCCTTCCAAACTAGGACAAATCCGGGGAAATCCGGAAAGCTAGCAGCCCTATTTGTAGTAGTTCCACAAATGTTTCAAGAACTAATACACAAAAACATATTGCAAAATATGGTAATTTGGAGAATAAAATTAAAAGATTAATAAAACACACACACTATTCCTAACATGTTCTGGCCTTAGGATTCAAATTTCTAACTTGTTCGGTTGTTTTAGAATTCTTTCAAACAGAGACCTCCTTTCTTCATCAAACTTCTTACCTTGTACTTCTTTTGTATCTCTTATTGCTGTTTGCTCTTCTACACTTATCTTTTTCTTTTTTTACCTCTTCTATGCGGATATAGTATTTTGATTTGCAGCTTTTTGGGGGTGACTATTCAAATTCATTAGCGATAGATTTGTGACTTGATTACTGTGATTCGGTTTCTGGCCTAAAGATAGCTTTATCGTTGGTTTTTAACTCCTATGCCAGTTATTAATACTAACAGAAATATTAAAATAAATGTTGCTATCAGGGACGGATATAATTTACGTTGTATTTTTTTACGGATTTGTCGTGTATGACGAACATATATTTAAAGTTATCTTCCTGGCGTGATTCATAACAGTCATCATTTCTAAAATGTTTTAAACGTATTCTAGTGTTTTTGTAAAATTTATTAACTTCAACCGCTCCTATTTCTAGGTTTTTTTAAAATTATTAACTATTTGAGGAAGGTCCTTTATTTCTCACAATGTCAATTTATTGGCGACTGGTTTCGAAGTGGTTACTTCATATCAGGCACACCTAAATGGAAAATCATGGAGTCAATGTATTGAAAGGTGAAAATTATTTAATACAAAATTGAAAATTGAACAAAAAATAAAGGGCGACGCACTTTTCTTATGCAAACGGGAGTATCGTTAAAATTTCTGAATTTTTGATATATTACTTGTCCCTATCAAAAAAGCCATGGATTCAATCCGATCCTATTGCTAAATTTTGAGATACAGGGTGTTGAAGTTAGATATCTTTAATTCTTTAAAAAGGACACCAAAAATCACACTTAAATATTTTTGAAAGTTATTCTCTCATTCTGTGTAGTTAAAATACTACTTAAACTAAACGCATGATAGCTACTCGATTTATGTTAAATATTTAAACAACCAATATCATGAAATGACTATTTCTTATATGAATATGTAGCAATAACCAGATATAACATTTATATTTCTCGTATACCTAACTAGAACTCAATGGATTTCATAGAAAAAATCTCATAGTGTACATAAAATTAAGAAGACAGTTTAGAAGTGGAGAATTTACCAGATTTATCTGCTCATTGACTATTTCATACTGAGAACCCATTAAATGTTTTGAATTTCTAGTTATTCCAAAAACTATGTCAGTTTGACATAGTTTGTTATTGCATATTTAAAATATTAATAATGTATGTATTGTGATGTTTGTTTATTTTCAAACAATAGTTTATTTATTAATAATTTATTTAAACACTTATTTATTTTATAACACAACTATTCTAATTTATATATACTTCAAATGTTTTTAAACTGATCACTATTTATATTCACCACTGTCTATCTACTAATTACTATTTATCTTCACTGTTCTTATAACTACTAACTCTGATGGCTCATCCACCAATATTTATATACAAATTGGTGGTCTAGAATGTTCCTCCACCAAAATTACCAGAATGTACCAGAAACGTTATCACGTTATATTTAGACTAGAAATAGTATCTCGTTGACTCTGGAATGTTCGCGAAAGTGTCTCCACCATAGTCGTCACATAGGTTTGGTCTTAAGGGGTTTAATTATGTATAATAATCGGACAAGTTGAGCCTCAAAGGCCAAATAATACAGAGAGGGACTTGGAGTATTAGAGCATGACTGAATAATGAAATGGCTCACATTACAGTATATTTATAAGCTTTTTTAATAAAAAAACTCACAACCAGTGGCGGCACGTGGGGGTGTTTACAGTGACAGAATATAGGTATCAGTACGGATGTATAAAAAAACTTTCAGTGTTTTAGAAAGTTTATAATATACCTTTCTAATACACTGACAGTTTTTTACCTATATCTGTACCGGGATCTATATTCTGCTACTGTGAACCCCAACATTTTGGTCACGAGCCGCGCCTGCTCACAACAATTAATTTTCTATTCATTGTTTAACTGTGACTATACCATAGGGGAGTAACTTAAAACAAAATGTATTGGGGGCTTTACCTCAAGGGTGGCGTAGAAAGGAGCTCACAATCTGATTTAAATAGTAAAGAGGCACTTATGGCAATGCTCAAGCCAAATAAACCTATAATCCGATCACAATTAATTTCTCTAGATTTTACTTAGACCTACCGTATAATAATTTTTTTTGTAATGGAAAATGTATGACCCTGTATGTGGACTTTTTTGATGAACAACTTGCAACTTACAAGGCAATTAGTTTTTATTCTTTGACAACAATTTCAACATTTCTTGTTGATTTTGTCACCTTACATATACAACTGTGATCACCCTGTGAGTTCGAAATTTATTGTATGTCTCCAAATAGTACAAGGCGGTACATTCCTAATCCAAATAGTTAATATATGGTATTCCTTTTGAACATATACAGTATGGTTCAAATGAAAGGAATAAATTCATTATAATGGAAGTAGTTGGTTTTTCGAAAAAATGCTCGGACAGGTCAATTTTGTTTACTCAAAGCGCAATTTTTTAAATAGAATTCAATTTTCCCCCACCTCCCATTTTTGGACAGTGACGTCATTGACAATTTTTTTAAATAGTAACCCCAATTTTTTTTTCTTGATTTTGATAGATCTTGCAATTTCCTACTCGGAAACATAATATTTGAAATATCTTACATAACATTTTTTTTTGAATAAAAGTCATTTAAAGATCAGACACATAAATTTTATTTTATTTTGAGAACACAATAAATGAATATAAGATAATTATTTGTAATTAAGTGCTTAATC